CTTCAGTTTGATACCTGGTTGATCTTTCTGAAAAGAAAACTGTTCTAATGTCATTGGCAAAACGATCGATACCACACTTACAAATATTAATGCATTAATTTTAATGTCATTTAAAAGCATAATAGTGTATAGTTCCTGCACTGGGGTAGTTTGATTGATTATCGTAACTTTCGTTAGTTGCATCGTTTCAAAATACTGCGTTTCGAAAATCCGATGCTTGCTCTTGCACAGGGAAGTACGTGTCTCGCATTATAACAAGTGCAAATCAGCATTAAGTCGCCTTCGATACAAAAAAAAAAAAAAAAAAAACACTCACAGTGAATATGTCACAGGCAATGATTAATTTCATGCTTTTAGAAAAACTAGATGAAATGGTAGCTTTTGTTTGATAAAAATGACATGTAATGGCAAATTTGCTAAATTTACTTCTAATAGCATCTAATTATTTACCAGGAAGGCTACCCCTCTGGTCTGTTTAAGCATGTAAGCAAGTTTCCTGAATCCTGTACAAAAAATCCAATCTTTTAATTTCATTTTTTGCCTTCATTCTTTCTTATAATCAGTGAAATATTCACAAAAATGCAAAAATACCCCGAAAAGATTATTTAAAAGCAGAGTATAGTATTTCCTGTTTTCATTAATAGTATAAAAGCATGGAGGATACAAATAAGCAGATGTGAAAGTCTCTTTTTATCATAATTAAGTTTTAATCTTTTCCAGCAAACACAAAACCCTTTCAACACATTTCAAAAATGTTTCATTGTGTTCTTAACATTACAAAGTGTTTGACCACAGTTAAAAATATCTTGGCAAAAAATGTCGATTCGTTTGTATTTTAATTATTTTATGAAAACACTTAGTCAAAACACCTTTTCTGAAACATAGTAATTACATTATGAAATATTTTTATCATAAAATAGCTATGAATTAGATTAGTTAACGCAAGAAACGTTTAATATAGTGTCTATGGAAAACCCCTTTGTTTAGCCTGGTCCAACTTGTAGAACTATTGCGACGTATGGCTTGAGTCTTATCATTATCGAATATCCCGTGGTGTTTTTTTCTCTTTTTCAAACCGTGCAATATTGAACTTACATCAAATAATTATTCCTGGATGCAGAACTGTTTATATTTAACCAGACTTTTACAAACTCAGCAAAAATCACTGTCGAATAAATAAATAAATAGTGTTTTAGATAAACCTGTAGATTGTGTTGCCTTTGCTTCAGTATTTACATTCTAAGGAACTCGATCGTGATTTCAGTTGGCATAGGTGTCGTGAATAATATCTGTGTGTATACACAGTTGATGATATTTAGCTAAAACTATTCATGGTAAACTACCTGTCAAAGCGAGACTGAGTGCTTGTTTGGTTATTTTGACGCGGTACTTTTTAAAGTGCATATTTCTCATGTCTTACACAGTGCTGTTACAATCTTTAAAATATACATATATATTACTTATTAAATCGTTATCTTAAACATTTAAAAACACTCTAAAGCATTCACATAACGTTATAATTCTTTGCTGGTTATCCGATCATTTCAACGGTTAAAAATGTAAATAACGCCACTGACCATTTAGTTGGTCACTTTCCTTACATATTTTCTATACAATTATTTCAAGAGCAAAGCAAAAGTTTTTGTGTTCACATTTTTCTGCTTTCCAAAATGTGCATATTGGACTTACAAGATTAACTGGCGTAAATGACAAAATGACCATTTATTTAAAGCTATATGGTTTCAGTAAAATTGGTATTAAACAGCCAACGTCAGTAGGAAAAATTTTATTTTATTTGTATTTTTAATAATTCCACATAATTTAGCGATTATCTACTTTGAGTTTTAACTGACTTTGGGATAGTAACATTTGCAAGACTGTTTCTAATGGCATCAGCAATGAAACATATCCTAAATACTAAATTTTTGAAGACATCTGTGAAAAACAAGATGTTTTGTGGATGATAATATCTAATAACATTTAATAACATATCCTAGGTGTAGATCGAGTTAAGATAAAATGAAACATTTTGTATCATTATGGATCCTTCCTGATAAAATATAACTTACCAGACAAACTGAGCGATTGCGTGCCTCTATGTAGGAACAGCTCGGGTCACTCAACAGGAACTCCGCCTGAACGCCGGAACAGTTGAAATTGGTAAGAGCACAAGTCTTTGTGTTACCGCAGTAATATGCCCCTAGGCAGCTTCTATGCCCCAGACAGTGGAGTGCGCAGTGCCCTTTAGACATAGAAGATGTCGTCTGAAGAATTAAATCTTCAATAAATTTCGTCTGAGGCTGAACCCGAAACCATAAAGATGAAGAATTCGACGCGCCAAACCATATCATAAGCAGAGCATAATCTGCCAAAAGAACGGCCACAAATTTCTTCGTTGCCATCTTCAAATGGTTAACTGCTGTTTGGATCCTTCATTATCTTTTACGTGAAATGTGTTCACAGCATGCATTGAAACACCCACCCTCGAGTCTGCAAGCTCTTTTTATGTCATTAGTGTTTTCGGTTGGCTTCACCTGACGTCCTCAGTGAGAGATTAATCTGAAGCGTCTATTTGTGACACTCAAAAGCTGCTTATTGTGTACTGCGCCATAGACAAAAATTAAAAATTGATATGGCACTTAATAAAGATTCATCCATTTACTGTAATTCTGATCTAATTTCATCTCTCCTGTGTGTTGTTTGTAGTTTTTATTGATTGAATTGTCTGCCATTGGGACTATCATATCTAACATATGGTGTTATGAATATGTATTGTTTGCTATTGTAAGTTATAGGGAAATGTTACACTCTGCCATTGCAAATCAGCATCAAGTAATGTATATATGAACAAAAACTTTTCATTAAAAAAGCAAAAAAAGAATGGAAAGAAACAATACTGGAAAGTTATCTGTATTGAAATCCCACAGTGGTTTCACGGGGGTTCGAGTGTTTTTTAAACGAACCGCCATTTTATACCAAGAAAATAAGGTCTGCTCCTGGTAAAATGTGATCTAGGTACACGAATGTTTCATGATGAAAGGTTCACTTCTTCAGAAAAATACCCCCTTTGCTGGATACAGAACTGCGTTAGAATCCTTTAAAATATATAAAAACACATGCATTTGTCGCGGAAATTATATGTTATGAGATACATGTACCAGTACATCATAACAGGGTGTATCCTGCAGACAGTTTAGACACGCTGTGTATGTGACGAGCTTGAAATGCAAAAAAAAAAAATCTTAGTTGTAAGTTAAATCAGGGGTAAAACATGGATCCTAGGCTAAATGTACAGTCCCATAAAGACTGGAAATATGAACCATTAACACTGACAGGAAACAGTGGGTGTTTCGTGTAAAAGGAACGACGTACAGTCACACAGGGCGTTACCTCTTTCTGCATCCATCTGTAACATATATCATTATACTATATTGGTTCACGCCAACCCCATCATTGCGAAATGTTTGATGTCGCTATGGGATTGCCGTGTCTCAACCGGATGTCTTTGTTTATCTCCCCTACCACATTCACAATCAGTCAGTGCAAATTGTCGAATTATGTGCCTCAAACAAAAATCACTAGTTTTACCTGTATGCGTCTGAAATAGTGTACTCGGATTTATTAAGATCGTGAATTTCTTTCCTTATACGGCGTTACATGTATTAATATTGTTAATGATATATATATACTCAATGGGTTTTGGGCGTTTAAACATTAAAATGGGAACATCTGCGTCTAAATGTAAACCCTTTAGTCGGTAAACTTGTTTATTTTCGACCCAAACAAGTGCAAATTATTTAACATCTGGCGGTAGAAATGGATCCACTTGAAGGAGCCATATTCTAGCATTGAACGGCCCAGGGGTATATATGCAATCAGATTTGGGAATGTGTTGGAGATTACAGTATGTCTACAAAAAACTGATGCGACATGTGCCAAGTCGTTCTGAAGTACTGGTTTATCTGTCTCTAAGACTCTGGCAATTCTGTGCCATCACCTTCATATTTCACAAATAATGCAGCGGTATGGTTAGGTTATATTTGACAAGAAACGGGGGTAAAATTGCATTACAAATTGAGGGTTAATTATATACTTTTTATTCTGTTTTTAAGTGCTCGTCTAGTCCGCTTTAATTATCGTTCAATGCTATTTTGTCTTTTGATACATTTCTTACAATTCACGAAACACGACCTAAATGTTATGCAAAATACCACGGCGGATAACCATGCCTTTTGAAAGGAAAGCACAACAAATTATTGTAAATACATTATTTTATTTCTAACAAACACGTAAAATTAGAGGATCCTAAAATCGCAGAGTAACGCTCTGGAATACACTGCAAAGATATGCTATATCATAAACGTCATAATATGTACATTTCATACAGGATTTCAGACAGACGATACATCGGCACATGACAAAAAATATACAACATACAAACAGGAGAAAATATATTATCTGGTTGCTGAACAGGATCCAGCAGTCATAAACCATGACCAAAAACACCCTATATTAGATGAAGTGTAAATAAAAATTACTCGGGACACGATGGATGATGCAAATATATTAGCTTATTAATACAGTCCACGCATCTAAATATAGGACAGACTAAATGGAAGCAAAATAAAAGTCTTCCTGACGAAATTTAATGAAAACGCCCGCACGAAAACGCAGTAGATGCTCCAGCGCAGTAGACTACTGCAATCATACTGCAAATATGCCTCAAATCTGCTTTGCATTGGGAGCTAATTAGCATATTTGAAACATGCTTCTATCATGCTGCTAATCTACTGCATTAATGCTCCTCCTCTGTACAACTCTATGTAATTTTTGAAGTAGAATTGCAGTAGGCTATACTGCATTTCTACTGCAAATATGCTCCACACTACTGCGTTAATGCTTCTTTGCTACTTCGATACTACTGCATTTTCGTGCGGGCGAGTCCACGACATGTAATACAGGAAGCGCACAAGCATAAGATACCAGTACGTCACGTATATTAGTGCATGTTCAGACAACCAATGTTTGTAATCCTAGGTTTTATCTAATATAGTTTTAAGGCGGACAATCTTATTATTCGCATGTATGAGCCCATTAAAAGAAAGATGCATTTGTATATAAAACCATAGAATTCCACTCATGTAACGGTGTATGTAGTAATCTGAAAGAGCAATCCGATAAGAAATGTCTTCATTACTAATGGACGGTGTAACGTAAGAAAATGACGGAAAGAGCAGCAGTGTTGACGTTAGAAAAAGTATCCGTAGGCAAATTTGACAGCAGGCAGCATAAAAATGTTGATCTCATAAGCTACATTGACAACAATAACAGCATCGGAAGAAATCTTATACATTATCTTGAAAGCGTAAAACATGATACAACTATCCATGTTGCCGTTTAAGAATGATGACGATTCCGTATTTTCTCTACAACTAATTCATTTGAAATGTTTTACCTAAAGCTCGTTGAAAAAAATTCCCTAAGGTTATATGGCCGTCGTGTTTTCTCTTACAGACAGTCAGTCTGCAAGCCGGAGTCAACAAACCATAGGCAACACGAAGTATACTTCGCCAACCATACAAGTATAGTTTTTAAATATAGAAGATATGAATAAAATGAGATCCAGAAAGATCGTATTATTGTGTAAATATAGGTTCTCATACGGATTGTATCCTGTATATATTTTCCCAGTATCCGTCGTTTTCTAGGTCGCTTCTGTTTCACATATAAAGTTAATTGTACGACTGCATTGCTCGTCATCAAAAAGCTTGGTGATGGAATGGTATTGTACACAGTCTTGATTGCCCCCTTGGCTATTTGGTTCCCCTAGAATGGAAATAACTTGTGGGAAATTGATAATGCAAATAAAATCACCATCAGAAGATTTCGTTTGAATGACATTGTTTTAAACCTCCTTTAATGTAATATATAGAAACGAAAAATAAACCGACATCAAACATGGCATTTCCTGCTCGGCATCATCGCTCTATTTCCACTTCTATTTAAGAGCACTTCAGCTTGGCAATACATGACAACGAAGGTAAATACCAAGTAAGGTAGTCTTGAAAATATCTCAGATAGATTCGGTTCGTGTAATTTAAGGACAAAATTGTTGTAACTAAAATATGAAAATACACATGAAAATATACGAGTTTTATACCTGGACCCCATGCAATAAACGGTGCTGGAATGTCGCCCCACCCGGACAATACCCAGGTACCTTCAGAGGCATCATCTGTTAGTGAGGTCCACCAGCCGACGGCACTCCGTGCTGAAGATAAATAATTGACACGACGGATTAAATCACCAAATTTTGCATGTGGTTACCCTTTGACACACTATGTCGAATTAGAGCCGTAGCTCTCTGAAAAAATTACCGATGGGTAAAAAAATCCAAAATGGCCGCCAATGTATTGAATTCTACAGAAATATAATTGTGACAACTGGTACCAACTTATAAGAGACACAATTACTGTCTAAGTAGATTGCAAGACGAAAACATTGAGTAATTTGCAAAGTTTAAGTACGTGTGGATAACACAATTCACGCGATTGTACTGTTGTTGAGGCCTTTTTTGTTATAAATCACTGTAAAACGCACAAGTATACCGATGTCAGATGATGTAATATCATAAATTTCCCTTACCTTCGTCGGCCATAATATGTTGTCTAATAAAAGTGTGTTCCTCTTCATTGTCAACGGCGACAAGTCTCGCTCCCATTGACTCGCAGTGGGCTTTAGCCTGGTAGAAGTTGCCTTTCAGTGTCATGTTGAAACTGTAGCAACTTGTCCTGAACGAAACCTCAAACTGCGGTGGACACGTTACTTAAAGTATACAAATCATTCCATATAATTAATAAAAAATGTAACGTCTTTCATTATCCAAGTACACGTATATGTAAACTGATTTACACCATAAATACGAAGGCAATAATGGCAACGTGGTTCACTGTTGGAAACGCTCAATGGGATATTAAACGTTCATTCTTTAAAAACCACCAGTGAAAATATAATGGTCATCTTGAATATGACCAGTATGTTCCTAGATAATACTAACGTTCACAGTTTAATCCGCCGTAAGGGACAGGGCAGGCACATTTACCGGAACCCTCAGTTAATTGGACACAAGTCCCGCCATTTTTACATCCACATTCCTGAAATAATATAGTACACAAGCATTGCTGTGGTCCTTACTGCATTTACTGTGTCACTAAAGTCAGTGTTTGTATCTTAGACACCGTTGCCAGTTTTTT